GCGCAGTCAGGCGTTACCAGGTATTTCAAAATAAGGCAGTTGTGTGTTAGTTATACATCCGGAGATTCTGTTGCAGCAATTGACGATAGGCATCTCCCACAGGCAATTCTATGTTCTTCCCGATATAAACCATATTGCCATTGATAGCGGTCAGAAAATTAAGGTTGACAAGGTAAGACTTATGAATCCGCACAATATTAAATCCCCCCAATTGTTTGGCAAGCAGCTCCAGGCTTACTTTGATCGGGGAAGCGGTTGGCGTGTTTTGCAGGTGTACCAATGAATATTTCCCATCAGCTTCAATGTACAATACATCCTTCCAATCGATACGCTGGTATTTATTGCCGCTTTTTACAAAATGGTATTGCGCCGTGGCATCAATCACATTCTGCAATTGTTTGTTCTGATAATTATAGATGGCAACCTGGATGGTGCCAATCAGTGTTTTCAGTTGAATAGGCTTACTCAAAAAGGCTTGCGGCTGCACTTCTGCAGCGCGGGTAATGGTCTCATCATCCGTATTGGCCGTCAGGAATATAAACGGCAGATGATACTTGTTATTAATGATCCCGGCAATATCGAGACCGGTCATTTTTGTTTTCAGGTTGATGTCCAGCAATACAAGATCCGGACTATCTTTTTGAAGCGACATTAAGGCTTCTTCTGCGGACAGACAAGGTTCCAGTACATCGTAACCATAGTCCTGCAAATCGGCATAGATGCGCTCGGCTATCAATGCCTCATCTTCCACAATCAGTATTTTTATTGCATTGTAGTTATCCATGATGATCTAAAGTTAATCTATATTGCCAGCCGGTTTCATTTTTTGATATATCGAGCTGGCCTTTAAGTTGCCTGACCAGCGAATTGATCAGACGGCTGCCAAACCCTTCAGTGGTCTCACTATTTTTTGCGTTTTGTCCGTTGTCGGCAAAGATTACCTCCAGCTTGCCTGATGGCAGATCCTTCTTCAGGGAGAAACGTATCAGCGCATCTTCCTGCTTTCTGCTGAATGCATATTTTATGGAGTTGGTGATCCATTCATTGATGAGCAAGGCCAATGGCAGAATGTAATCCGGTGTAAAAGAAACCGGCACAATGTCAAGGTTATATTTTATCGGTATCTGTCTCCTTGCATTGCTGTCTTCCATGATACGGGCAAACATCTCACCGAAATATTCAGGTGCACTGGTATTGGCCAGGTTGCCGTTATAAAGCTGCTTATGTAACAGGGCAATCGATTGTATCCTGTTATTCGCTTCGGTTAGCGCCTGCTGTACCGACTCGTCATCGCGGTATTGCCTCATTTGCAGGATCAACATGCTTTGCAGCATCTCCAGGTTATTTTTCACGCGGTGGTGTATCTCCCCCAGCAATACAGCTTTCTGGTTGTTCTGCTCATCGATGATCTTATTCTGCGCCATTATCTTCCGGTTTGCCCGCGAC